AAAAAACTATGTATGTATTCCCCCCCTCCCCCAGTCAGGGTTCCTGGCAGCTTGGATGTATGGGAGAATTTCTCTGGCGATATAAAGGACCATCTCCTTTCCAATCACTATTGCTGCAAATAATCTCACTGCCTCTGTGGTTAAAGTTGGATAAGAAAGAAAATGTGGCAGCCTGTGAGAACTGTACACAGAAAGTGAGACTTCTGACTTCGTGGCAGTGGGCGCAAACAGCAGCACTGGTGGGTCAAGGCTTCACATCAGTACTGCTAGTTCCTGGCCAAGTAGCAGCAATGGCAGAATTGGCATTTGATATTGTCCTTTCTTGGGAGCAGAAGATGACAGGGAGAGCAAATGGAGGCAAAGGTGCTACAGATGCAAGCAGCTGGCACACAGGAAGCCAAACAATGAAAGGAAAAGCACCAGAGGTGAAAGAGGAAAACCGCAGCTGTTGGCTGTTTTGTTTCAATTGTGCAATAAGACAGAACAGCACATTTCAAACCTGTGTTACAAGTTTGTCACCATCATGCAATATTGTTGCAGTCAATGCTTTCGTGCAGACTAGGCAGTGACTCCACATGTTTATAGGGTCTTCAGTATGCAGTAGAAAAAAATACAATCACCATCAGTCCAGGCTGATACATATTTGCTCAAAGTTACGGTAAAGTCCAACAATGGATTATACTGTGCTGCCTTATAAGATTTGCCAATTTTGTTTTAGTATTTTTTTAAAAATAACATTGGGATCTTGAGGATGATGCTAGTTAAGGGCTACCAAGTTACCATTAGAGATTTAAAGCAGGGGTGAAATCTAGCAGATTCTGACAGGTTCTGGAGAACCGGTAGTGGAAATTTTGAGCAGTTCGGAGAACCGGTTGCGAAAATTTTGAGTAGTTCGGAGAACCGGCAAATAGCACCTCTGGCTGGCCCCAGAGTGGGATGGGAATAGAGATTTTGCAATATCCTTCCCCCAGGAGTGGGAAGGGAATGGGGATTTTGCAGTATCCTTCCCTTGGAGTGGGGTGGAAATGGAGATTTTGTGGTATCCTTCCCCTGCCATGCCCACCAAGCCACGCCCACAGAACCAGTTGTAAAAAAAATTTGGATTTCACCACTGATTTAAAGGGATACAATTTTAAAATTCAGAATTATGTCCTCCAGAGAATTGGACTATAAGTGTAACTGGAAGCTCAGCATACCTTGACCTTTTCAGTAGTAGTTGCACCTATTGCACCTACTACAATATTTCTTGACTAAGAGAACCTTAAATTTATTTCCCCAGAATAATCTTTGCTGAACCCCAAATAAACTTTTTTCCCTAAGAACTTACAGCACAGTAGCAGGTTGCAGTCAAGGCAGCTATTTTATTCATGTGATTAAAACTTGTGGCATAAAATGAAGTACAAACAAGATAAAAACGCCAAACAAACTTGAAAACAAAATGAAGGAATTATAGGAAGTGGATTTGGTGGGAAAAATTCAGTGCAGGATCTAAAGTGTTTGATAATATCAAGCTTATCCTGGTAACTTGAGGCTATTGAAAGAAACCATCTGTTGCAGCTGAACACTGATGACAGAAAGCAACATCGGGACTGTCTCCAGTGTCTAATAATAGTAAACATTTCATTGGATGCTGCAAAATGGCACCTCAGAAAGCTAATTTCAGCAAATCAATTTATTTGGCATAGCACTGGGAGTATATGTCATTTTCTTTACAAAATATCCTATTGGAGAAAACCATCAATAGGAAAGCCATTATGATGAACTGACATTGTATGGGCATATCAAGTGGTTTTCATGCAAATCTGGTTGGCCCTGTTGAATTTCTTTCTGAATTTTCCACTGTTCTGATAAAACATCCAGATTTATGTACAGTGGCCAATCTGCTTGGGCACGAAATATCACTTCATTGGAAGCTGCACAGGAAGATCCAGTTACTTTGCTTCTACATCCAAATAGCCCATAATTGGGCTCAAACATAAGTTGAGTCATTTATAAAAAGAGCCCAAGGTGCTATTAGAGCCAGACACACCAAAGCCCAGTGTATAATTATATAATCCACATCCGTGTGGAAACTGCCCCATTAAGCCACCTAATTCTCTGAGAATGAAGATGTTATGTATGCTGGCTTTCTAGAAGACCCATAAAGTTAATGCTCTTCTCAAAAACTCACCTTGCTCTTGAAGAGACTAGAAAACACTATTCCACTTCATTTGTTCAGAGGAAGACTAATTTAAATTGGAAAACCAGTATTGTGGAAAGAAAAAGTGGGTTAGATTGATACTATTCTCTCTTCCACCCTCCCGAGAAGCTGTTCTGAAATTATGCATCTTCTGTATTGATCATGCAAAGAACAGATGATCCCAGCAACTTCTGCGCTCAGACCTATTAACAGAACTACAGGTGGATTATATGTGTATTAGATCCATGTGTCAGAGATGCCTCTTGTTCTTTTAATCAAGGAAGACACGTTTTGTCGACATATCAGGAGGATACCTCTTGCTAGTTTTAACATCTTTCCATGTATCTTCAAAAGCAATTGTTCAGCTGCAGGGAATGGTGGGTTAAAAGAAACAGTATGCCAAAAGTTGATGGGCTCATTGGTGGATTTAACTAGTTGATAAAATTATTTGCTTCACTGCCAGTCAAAGGCTTCTACAATTCTATACAGTTGGAATTGCATACAAGAGTTCTGCATTTCATTGACACAGCCTTGCAAAATCCTCACAAGTGGGAAAAAAACCCCGACTATGGATTCAATACACTTTGATGTAAACATGTAGCAACTCAAAGATCAATTTTCCCAGCAGGTGATTTGCAAAGGCCATTTATTCAACAAGAGTATTAATTCGTCAGCTAGTGCTACGACTAACAAGCTCTAGAGAGCAGCAGGTATAAAAATGTTAGATGTTTACTCTCCACTTATTCTGGAGGCACTTACAATTAAGCATTTATGTGTTCTCCAGCCATTTAATATTGTGTTTATGCTGTATTGATTCACGAAAAGCCTCCTGTTTAGAGGTATTTTTTTCTAAGTTGCACTGGGGACTTATTCAGCTGTTTGGATTGTGGCCTCAGCAAATTAGCAGGGTCTCTATTAAGAATTCTCTGCCTGCTTTTTTTTTTTTTTTTGCTTATTTCTTGATGCTCCAAGAGTTTCTGTGTTTCTGTATTTGAACTTGGCTTTCCCTCTTTTCTAGTCCCATTCTCAACATACAAATCAAAACACAGTTCAATGGTTGAAAAGAAGGCAGTTCTGGAACCAAGGTGAACAGCCAGCTCACAGCCTGGGTTGTTTATTCATTAAATTTATATTTATATAATTATAAATAACATAATTTTATATATGGAATATAACAAGATCGTTATAAAGGCAGCAGGAGTCGTCTACATTCTGCTTATTATCACTCAAAGAGGACTGAGGAGCATAGAAGAGATGGATGGCATTAAAGTGCCTTTTCACTTTAACATTGTGTTAATGTAGTGTAGTGTAGTTATTGTTACAGAGGGAAAAATGGTTTGCACGTGTAGGGGATAAGAAATATAAGAAAAAAAAAGGACACATCAGTTTCATTGCAATTGCTGCCTGCCCCCCCATTTCTAGGTACACCTGAATTTAACTGGTGGCAAATGGCACGGGTGTACCTGCCATATGCTACCTATTTAATAGATGAAAAAGTCATTCAGTTTGTCTTCACAGCTGTTGATCTGGGTGTTGCATTGATTTTGTAACCACCACAACATATCAAGAGTTTACAGTTCAGCAAACCGTGTGAGGGGTGATGAAGGACTATATTCTAATCCATGCATGTAAGGTATAATTTTAATGAGGGAGAAAAATCATACTGACATATCACTTTGTAAGCAATGAGGATGGCTACAAATTATTTAATAACCCAAAGGTCTTCAAGAGGTGAATAGTGGGGTGGGAGTGGGGGCAGGGGGAAAAATCTGTAAACATTTCTTGCTTGGAGTGCAATCTGGCCTAGGGTTAGCCATGCTTATAAAGATGCCATTGCAGATTAAATCCTGCTCAGGGGCCTGTCATCTGTCACATATCGTTGGACTTACAATATACATTTAAAACTATGCATCTGCAACATTGGTAAGTTTTCATCCGAGAAACTTTATAGGTTATTTCAGTTTTATCATCAAAGAGACTTCTGAAGGCAAACAGATGGCAGGACACCAACTTCCCAAAGGCATCAAATATGCTTCATGGCTAACAGAAGTTTGGGCCAGAAGATATCCCTTAAATATTTCAATGCAAATATTATTGTAAGATTCATAGAATCACTAAACTGCAGTCTATGCAATATATTGAAATATCAGGTTTTGCATTCATACAGCAACAGTTTTTCAAACAGTTTGTGCATTTGTTTGTTAGCTCATTTCTTTATTCTCTGGAGAAATAAGGTATATGGCTAATATGCTATCTACAATATCATGAACTTTATATTCCATTTGGAAAATCCTTGATGCTATTTACAAATATGGGAAGTTACTCTATTGCGAGTCAGAGGCAGGTGATTTGCTAAATGTATCACAGGAAAGAAAAAAAAAAGTATCACTGAGTGTCCTATTTTTATATTAGAAATTATGATGCATCCAGTAATAGTTTTCTGTACGGTTCTCTAATGTCAGTTAAAATGAAAAATTTAGCTTGAATCGTTACAAAGTATCAACCTAAAAATTGGAAATGCTCTATGTTATTTCAATTATTTACCGTATTTCTTATCAGGATTATATGTAGAAATGTCACAGAATTAATTTAAATTAGTAACCACTACTGTTTAAATAGTACACATTTCTGTAATATCTTTGTAACTAAATCGTTTTTGCCAAGTTATGTTCTGGTAACTAACAAAATATGAAACTAAATCCTCCAATAAGATTTGCAAGTAAAGTTGCTAAAAACGGCATGCCCATTTTTGTGGCAACTGATGGCTGATCCGATTGCACACCTTCTCTTCCCCATGAGAATCCATTTAGGAGACAAGACATAATATGACAGATTTATTGTACATTTATTTTCAGTGTGCTTCTAATGTGTCAAAAATTCCAGCATGCAGAAATTCACCCAAAAAAAAAAAAAAAAAAAAAATCTAAACATTGGCATAGAAAAAGAAATAAAAAATAAAAAAATAAAAGGAAGGTGGGGGAAATCACATTTATTCAATATATTTTGAACTTCCATCAAGCAAGTAATGAAGCAACATTTCTGCATATAGGAAAAGAAAAGAGAGAGAGAAAAGACCCTGTATTGAAGTCAATCAGCCAAAGTTCTCATTCAGTCGGTCTATGATGATCACAATGAAACTGCAGAGGCGAAGCCCCCACCAATAAATGCTGAAGCCCAAGCTTCAGGAAGTTATCTTGCAATCTGTTGACAAGCATGTGGGCACAAGAATCTGTTTGGCATTTTCTCAGGATGAGGTTGTTCCCCCCCCCCCCCCTTTTTTTTTTTTTAGAGTTTTCCATTTGCAAAAGCTGCCTCCTGGAACTGAGGGACAAATAGTTTGAAGTAAGCCCTAGAAAAACGAATAAAAAAGTTTATGTCAATAAAGATCAAAATAAGAGCATGTTGCATTTACAGACAAGATTCTCTAGCATACAAAACATAACACTTTTTCTGATTAAAAATATATTTTTGTTATACGGCGGCTGGCATGATCAAACATAGCACTACAATTTCTTACTCTGGAATAATGCTTAAAATACAGTCTTATCTATTACAGAAAGCTGTAGTAGAAAGCTACTACAGAAAAAAACTATATATTTTTTAAAATAAGTAAGTCGAGGCATATATTACTCAAAAATAATGGATTATTATAAATTTCTTTTAACAGAATTGCTTGCATCTATTACTGCTTTTTTGTTATTCACTCTGTTGCCATTTCTACTGAAAAACACTTCGCTTAATATATCCTAGGTAATTGCCCTCCTTCCTGCTGCCTGCATGTGAATCTAATACATTTAATTCCTATACACTAACCAGAGTAATATTTTGCAGAAGTCAACAAAAAAAGTACTTTATTTTCCAAAGAGCATTAAACAGCTGATGTGTTAGCGATTGTTTCATATTAAATTATAGTCATTTCCAGTATAGTAGCTTGATTCTTACCAGGCTACTGATACAACTGGATTTCACATAAAAAGAATGTTTAATGGATAAAAATTTCAATTTATACATTAAAGATAATTGTATAGTTGGAATATATTATGTACATTTTAGAATTGAAGTGGCGTGAGATAAATCCAGACGGCTGTGTATCTGCCCCTGTTTCTATAATGGGCAAAGTCTGTCACGTTCATCAATATGCCATATTTTAAAAATCCATATGGATTGCACAGAGCAAACTTAATATGCTATATTCTGTATTCAGTCCAAGAGCCAGCATGGTGTAATGGTTAAGGTGCTGCACTGGGAGCAGGGAGACCCAGGTTCTTATCCTACCTTAGGGACCGAAGCCAGTTGGGTGACCTTGGGCTCTCTCTCAGACCTAATCAACATCAGACTCAGCAACAAACTGGCCAGCAAAAAACACACCCAAAACTTAAACCAAAACCGTTGTCACATCATGCATTGATGGCTTTACTATAGTAAACTAGAAATATATTAGGAGAGCAAAAGTCTTCCATATTGTGTCTATTGACCAAAAGACATGGATGAATTTAAAAAAAAAAAGAATTTTGAGTAGACACTATTCTGTTCTCCCCTTCTGTCATTGCATTCCCCCTCATTCCATTAGGAGAGCTGTTTTACATCTATCTCTCTCTCTCTCTCTCTTTCTCTCTCTCTCTTTCTGAAGTGAAGGTGCTTATAAATTACAATCTTGCTTGAATACTTACAAAAACTAGTCTGATCAAACATGCCAAAAATTCTAGGCATTTCTTAATGCAAAATCCTATGCCAAGGATCCAGGAAGGAAGACAAGAAGGAAGTAAGAAACCATTGAATGTCACAATCTGGAGAGAGGATTTAGCAGCATTTTAACTCCATATTGGAGGCTGATAAACTTGAGTAAACATAAACTCATAACATTAGAATATCTCAGGATATGTAGTCCATCGTCCAGAAACTCAAGATTTCCATGTAGAATTAATCTACATTAAAAATGCTAAAGATTTTATTGCAGAAGTGAGAAATACGATAAATAAACCTGTTACTTTATTTGAATTGTTCTACAATTTCAACCATTTTATATATATTCTTTGATACAACATGAATCCCCTTTTAACTTTAAGAGCAAATTTTGTGTGTGTGTGTGTATGATATTTAAAATTTCAAGTTTTTATTTGAGCTCAAAGGAGCACCAAATGGAACACCAGGCTGAGCACCATATTGCCCCCCCAAAATCTGGGTCCTCATTTTACTGAACTAGGTAGGATGGAAAGCTGAGTCAACTTTGAGCCCGTCGAGGTTGAACTCCAGACTTTGAACAAAGTTAACCTGCAATACTGTGTTCTAATCATTGCATTGCCTGGGCAGTGGTTAGAATGCAGTATTCATGGCCAGTATTCATGACCAAATAATCCATACCTTTCAGAATATTTTGAACAATAAGATTCATAAGGGATAAGACATTAGTGGCTAACCTCTTGCACAATTTTAGAAATTCTGAAAATATTAAAGGCAATGTAGTAGGTGAGGTACAAGATAATATATAGCTATAAACAGATATCTCATCGTTATATATCTATCCATAAACGTATTTCTTTAATACAGGAATTAGATTCTTTGTCTAGTTTAAACTGAGTAAATTAGATTTGATGTATTTATTTACAACATTTATATTGCTGAAAATTTTAAATATATAATTGTGGGCAGCTCAAAACACAACAGAGCACATTAAACAACTATGGAACTCACATTAACCAAGGCATTCTAAACAGCTGCCAAATCAGCTGCATTGGGCTCAACAAACATCCTTGTCCAACTCTGGTGGGAAAGCTAGGTGTTTACAGATCTGGAGTTGGAGGTTACTATTATTTATCTTGATATCATGATTCTTTAAAGTTTTTTCAACTGATATATTTAAATTAAGTTTGGCAAAAAGTGAAACAGATGGTCTGGAAATTCTTTTTGAGTATTTGGGGCAAGATAATTGTGAATAAGATGAATTAGGAAAATTGATATTTCAAAATGTCTCCTATTTCTATTCCTTTATACTATTTTACACAAATTTACATTTTTTTTTCCTTTGGTAGGAACATCCTTTAAAATACTGTGGTATAAATATGGCTGTTGGGAAAGTGGATTTATCTGGGCATTTGTTTGTCTTCAATTAATCATGTTGAGATAAGGAATTTCCAGATTCAGCTCAAGATTAGAATCATATATGATTGGGAAGAACTGTTTCCCTAATTATACAACTTGCATTCAGTTTAACAAGACATGTATGTATAATATGAATCATGCATGCAATTTCTATTTGACCTGTAAACACCATAAATTATAAAATAATGGTTACTTAAGAATAGTTAGTTGAATCTTTTTGCAGAATTATAAACTGGATTTCTCATCATATTGAAAAAGTTTAGAGTATAATACTAAAACATAATATGTTTTGGATTAGTGTTTCTTGGAGGGGTTATTAAATTTATTATTTCATAATAAATAATATTTACTTATTTTTCAGTAGAGATGCCTGTATTTGGGAGGATATTGTGGGAGAATTAACCAACATTTCTAAATTAGTAATTCATCTTTCATAAAACAGTAGATACATTCCAAAGATTGCATAATCTTTGGAATAATAAACTCAGATCTTCTGTTCCTTGATTTTTTAAAAAAGCAATTCTCTTTTTAATGTACATTTATAATGTGCATTTATATATTGGTATTTTAGACATTCTCCAGTAATAATTGGCTATAATTACCCTCCAGTTAGTAATACAATTTAGTAGTTGGTGTATTTTTTTGCTAGATTGAGGCTTGTTCTGCTACTGCCATTTTTTCTTTCTTTCTTTCTTTCTCTTTCTTTCTTTCTTTTTCTTTCCTTTCTTTCTCTCTCTCTCGTCGCAATCTAGCTACAGTATCCAATCTATCATTATGCATTGATCAACCAAATTTGTATAGCCACTCTTCTTATAAAAAGCAACTCTAAGTGACATACAAAAATTGAATAAAACAATAAATGTAATATAAAATATTATAAAAATATACAAACTCTAGGCAAAGAAAGGATAAAATGGCTACCTCAACAATGGAGCTATCTAAGCATGTCTCAGGTTCCCTAGGAGCTCCAGCCCTTAACAGTCTTCCAGAATGTGAAAAAGGATGGAGGTAATTTAATATTGAGAATGTTTCATAAGGCATCCACCATAGCAAAGAAGGCACATCTCTTGGGACTCATCCTCATTCTCCTGCGCGAGCTGCACTGGCTCCCAGTGGTCTTCCGAGTGCAATTCAAGGTGTTGGTCACCACCTTTAAAGTGCTCCATGGCATAGGACCAGGATATCTACAGGACCGCCTTCTGCCACCAACAGCCTCCCACTGACCAGTTCGCTCCCACAGAGAGGGACTCCTCAGGGTACCGTCGGCCAAGTTATGTCGGTTGGCGACACCCAGGAGGAGAGCCTTCTCTGTCAGAGCTCCTGCCCTTTAGAATGAATTGCCCCAGATATTCGTAACATCTCTGACCTCCGGGTCTTTCGCTGTGCCCTGAAGACCCTACTGTTCTGACAGGTGGGGCTGTTTAACTGAATGATTTTAAATTGGGTTTTAATTTTGGGTTTTAAAATTCGGCCAAAACTATTTAATGATTTTAATTAATTTTAACTATGATATTGTATATTTATGTTTTAATTCTGGCTGTACACCGCTCCGAGTCGGTAGCAACTACTACTACTACTGACATCCACTTTTAAAACTATCCAAGTTGGTGTTCATCACTCCCTCTTTTGATAGAGACCTCCATAGGTAGCTTGTACTGTGTGGAAAAGTATTTCTTTCATCTGCCTTTAATTCCTCATTACTCGGTTTAGTGTTATGAAAGAGAGAAAAAAACATTTGTCTCTGTCCTGTGTGCAATGCTACTTAATATTTATTAGAACAATATAGAGTAATTAAAGACTCTCATCTTGGAGATTAAACAAACAGAAGAAATTCTTCTGTTTTTTAAAGGCAAGCAAGAATACTATTCCCTCTGTTTCTGCTTTTACTTAAGTACTTATTTATAATCTTGGATTATTAGGACAGATTGTTCCCCAAAATGTCTGCTTAGGGCTCCTTGTTTAGTTCACCCTGCACTCTGCACCACCTTCCTGAGATGAAGAAAACACACTTGAAATACAAAAAAGATAATCAACCATCCAAAAACGGAAAAATGGGCCTACCCAAAACACCTCCCCACCAGTAATCAACACCCAGATGAGCATAGATTAATTCAAAGATTAATATCGGACCATCTGTCAAGTAAACAATACCCCAGTCAAGGAAGTGCCAAACAAGCCAATAGTAAACAGCCCAACCAAGGAACCGCTAAGACCATCCCCTTCAACACTGTCAGGGCAAGCCACTAGTTT